TCTCTAAAATGAAAAAAAAATCAAAGCTATATTAACTGTAGATAAATTTAATGATGAGTACAAAACATGAATCTTTAAAACTATGAAGAGCCAACCTGGGTTCACAGATTTGCATTGTAGAGACCAAGTATTTAAATGTTCACAAGTATTTCAACACCCCAATGCTGGTATCTTTCTAATTATATAATTGTGATGTTTTAAAGGATTAAAAAGAACTGATGTAGAAAAGTTAAACTGACACTTATATTAATTGTAATTGTGAGTATAAATATTCCAATTTGAAATATGAGTATCAAAATTGTTAAATTAAAAATCTGATTGTGACTGTCAATAAACTATCAAATTATCCACATTTTCCTCCCTTATCAACATAAGCTGACACTAAAAATAATGTCTTGGGGACCACATCTTGTCTTATTAAAACTGTTGAGGAGCTTTCCTCATATAGAATAGTTTTTGCCATGTATCAATATAATCATTTATGTCAAGCTTTTTTTGGAGTATTGAGCAAATGAAGTTGTAAGCTGAATTCAATACAACAGAGCTGTTGGCAGAGGGTTACATACAGTCACATTTTTAAATTAGTGGATTTTAATTTAATTTTTAAACAGATTTTTTTGGTAGTGGTTTTATGTGTTCAGAACAAAGACAGAATACTACTATGAAGTACCTTCTAGGGTTTGGCACCCTAATTTTCTCTCTGTATTACTTTACCATTTCAAAGCAAACAAATTCATAAATCCTATACAATTAATATTAAAATTAAGACTTTAGGTAACAGAACACAGTAATTTTGAAAAATGAGCAAGAAAACAGCCATTAAAGGTTAGGAGTAAGAATCATTGGGAATAATGGGAAATATTTTCAGCTGATCAGAGAAAAACCAATAAACTATACAATAGTTTTAATTTAAAGACATAAACAAGAGTGCTTTGTTCACCCCAATTTCAGCTTTTTTTTCAATAAAAAGAAAATTAGCCAAAAAAGAAAACTAAAAGTAATTAGAATTTAAAGAAAACTAGTATTTAAGTAGTTGTTCCACCTTTCTTCCCATGAAAAACACTAGTATGTAAAAGTCTTTTTATAAGAGGAAATGTAAATATTTTCCTAAAGCTGGTAGACTAAAATTCTTTTGTACTGAAAGTAGAAAGAATTATATCACCCAACATTTCAATCAAATACTAAATCTCCTACCCTGGCTGGTGTGACTCGGTAGATTGAGTGCTGGCCTGTGAACCAAAGAGTTGCCAGTTGATTCTCAGGCAGCACACATGCCCGGGGTGTGGGTCAGGTCCCTAGTGGGTGGCAGGGGGCCAGAGGCAACCACACATTGATGTTTCTCTCCCTTTCTTTTCCCCTCCTTTCCCCTCTCTAAAAATAAATGAATAAAATCTTAAAAAAAAAAAATCCCCTAGAGCTAGCTCATTACTTTATAGTTGAAAAACAAGAAAGAGAAGAACTGAGAACAAAAATATACAAACGAACAATTTAAAATAAAATGCACTGTCTCCATCAGAAAAAAAAATGCCACAAACAACTCCAATAACAACAAATTACAATTCAAAGCCGCATTCGAAACTATGACTAAAAATGCAACATATGTACTGTCTTCAAAGAAATAACATAGAATCTTGTTTTTACTACCTTTAAAAGTTGGCAGTTATAGGCCTGAATGGAAGGCAAATGTGAAACTGCAAACTGAATTTTTTTAAAGAAATTAAAAGACGTATAACAAACACCTTTAAATTTGAATATTTAAAACATGAAGAGCCAGTGTCTAACATAATCTTGGTCTCAATTTTGATAATTTAAAGAAACCCATTGATAGAGTAAGAGACAAACAGAAAGAAAACTTTGAGTAATAGGTATATGAGGATGTAAAAAATTCAACTCAAAACATTTACCAAGAAATATGTGAATAATCAATAATGGCAGCATTAAAAAGTAAATGTTCACTCAATAAACAACTTTATCATAAAATAGTTCTCACAGATAAGGCAATATTCTGAAAGATAAATAGCAATTCAAAGCTAAATCTAAATCTGTTACTTTACACAAAGAGAAATTCACTTTGCTCATTTGATGTTTTTTAAACATCCTTGAAAATTTTGCTCACTAATGCCATTTTCATTTAACACAATTTCCCAGTTTGCCTCAATAAATCCATCTTATGAATTGTGCCTTTCAGCTTTAACAACAAAAAAAATCTAACATATGGCAATGTTCATAACACAGCTATGTTTGAAATGTCATTAATTTTTTTAAATTAAATTTACTGGGATGACATTGTTTAATAAGATTATATAGGTTTCAAGTGTAGAGTCTGTGATACAAGATCTGTATATTCCAGTTTGAAAATGTTATTAAATTTTAATGGTGGAGATAAGCTACACTCACTTTGATAATAGTCTTATTTTCCCTTATGAAATAAAACATCATTTTTTGGCTGATGCAATTCTTAGGCTCAATGTATTTTGGTTTTTCACTTTCATTTTTAATTTAGCAAAGCAACTAGAAGAGTGAAATCTTCCATTACTTTAATAAAATGAATAAATTGTAGCTAGACAAATTCTGTTGCCAAAAGGTAGCTATGCAGTAGTCTCCATCTCCTGTTGAGGAGACATCCATTTCAAATTATTTTAATCCAGTTTTTAAAAAATAAGCAAATACTTTTGCTTAAGTGCTCATGTTGAAAGAGTTGAGTTTTTTAAAAATTAATAATGCATTCTTCCTAAACGAATACAATTGATGTAAAAAGCTAATTCCCATAAATATAATTATATAGAAATATACTCTCTCGTAAAGAAGCTCAATTCAAGTTGATAAGCTTTTGGTTTCCACCAATTTGAGATACACACATAATTTTCCAAACTGCATGAAGAAATAATTTTCACCCTGATGTGCACTTGCTACATGGGTACAACCCAGTGTATTATGGGTACATACTACGAGAAATCTTTACATAGTCAGTTTATGTCTATTGCAGTGTACCAAAAGTGTAAATCACTTGACTCTTTCACAATTACTGTACTTTCCCATTAAACAGACTATACTTCTCACACAAAATGCAACAATGGTTCAACATAATATTATAAGTAATGTTTAATTATAGTATTTAACAAGTAGAGGCACAATAAAGTAACAAATGAAGTCTTGCACATTATTAAAACAATGTTTAAGAATTTATTATAGCAGGAGAGATAGCTACTGTAAAACTTTACACAATTCATCCTCCAAAGGTAATCCTACAAGAGAGAAAAGGGGTTTTCTCTAATAAATAAATCTCTTTTAAAACATAATTCTAGGTCCCTTAAAATAGATCCAGGATAAAAAGCAAGTTGAAAGTTACGGAATAAAAGCCACCAGGCAAATCATGATTAATAAGAAAGGTTTTGGAGAAAGATTTACATTCAAATTTCTGGTCATATAACTTATAGAAACTTGTGACCTTAGGCAAGTTTCTTAATCCCTTTTAGCCTCGATTTATTCATCTGCAAAATTGGTCATTGTGCTAAAGAAGAGATAGCAAAAGAGGTATTATTAGCAATGATCTTGGCACTCAGTAAGGACTAAGGAAGGTGGCTATAATCAACATTGTCAAGGCAAACTGGGAGGGGGGGACCTCATTAGCGTCCTTGCAAAAACTGCCATGGTCCTTGCTTTAAAATCTACTCTTTTCTTGCTTGTTAGTATAACTACTGGTACTTTTCTGATGTTCCTTTTTAGTGTACAAGGCTCTACAAAACTAAAAACAAACAAACAAAAACCGAGAGGTGGTTAAAAACCTAATTTTACAGGCAGCAAGAACCAGGACTCGGACACAAGTGTGTGTGCGGCAGAATCTGTCATCGTACCTTTCAAATATCCTACTGATCCCCAGCCGAGTTGATAGGGGCTTAGGAGGATATGTCCCAGTAGATGCTTTTTAAAACAAAATCACTTCCGTTAAAAGAAAAGTCTAGCCCCGGGACACTACTAGAAATGATGATTTTTAATTATTTGTTTAATGAATCAATAAAGCTGTACACTTCACACAGAAACTAACTTTCCAGGAAAACCGACTTAAAATTTTCACTTCCTATTCTGAACTGGAGTCCCTTTCTTCCCAAACGTTCAAGATTTAGAACTTTAGTTCCTTGTATTTTATTTTTTCAAGATTTTATTTATTTTTAGAGAGAGGGGATGGGAGGAGAAAGAGAGAAACATCAATCTGCGAGAGAAGCGTCATCTGTCGCCCCTCCCACGCGGAACCCAACCGCAACCTAGGCTTGTGCCTTGACCCGGAAGGCAACAAGCCACCTGTCACTTTGCAGAAGCGACCCACATGCCTGACTTGAGCCACACAGGTCAGGACCCGCTAAATTATTTAAAAAACTAAATGAGGTATAAATTATCCCTAAATTAATTAATGAAAAATAAAAGGAGTGAGCTTTAAAAGGGGTAGGTTGCCTAAAGTTACATAGTGTGTAGGATACCGAAGCAGCTGGGATTCGAACTCCTATCTTTGGGGGGCTCCAAAGTCCAAGCCATTTTCGCTATAGTAAAGCTCCCATCTCCACTCGTCTCCCTAAACCGTCCGGTAGTCAGAACATTTATTAAGCATTTTTTCCCTTCCCTCCCTGTTGCCAACCCTTGCATCTCACACTACCTCCGAGGCTGGGCTATAAACTCAATACAACAAGCCAGGTGCACTAATTCGAGGAATCGGAGTCTAGTCCCGAAGAACAGAAATCTGTTTTATTTTCTATGCCGAGCGAAGGCCTGGCGCCACCAAGACCAGCGACAAACACAGGCTGGGTTCCAGCTCGGCTGCAGACCGCGCCCAGGTCTCGAGTTTTAGTCAAGGCCCACGTTCAGTCCAGGCCAGGAGAAGGAAGAGAAGGTTATTCTCTCCCGACACCCTGGCCGCGGCGACAGCACAGAGAGAAAGACGGAGTCGCAGAAACACTGCACACACATTACACCCGCCAGGCCTTCGTTAGCCGGTTAAACACACTTACTTGAGCTAAGTACTTCCAAGACACAAGGCCGGCACCGGCAACGGGAAGGGCTTCTCTGTCCTCCAGCCCCAGTCACGGACAGTGACGACATCTGGGCCGCGCCTCCGAGAGAGAAAGCCCCGCGCCTGGCCGCGAGCCCGGCGCACAGAGCGCGACCCCGGCAGGGGCGGGGCCACACGGCGACGCGGTCTTTTACCGTCACGGCGGGGGATCCGCCGCCGGCCTCAGGACTTTAGCCATGTCGCGTCTTCAGCGAGGCACGGAGCGGGACACCCGAATGGGTTTCAGAACTGAAAGGAGAGACTGCTCTGCCTCAGTACCCCAGGGGCTGTTAAAGGCGGCAAGGAAGAGCGGCCAGCTAAACCTGTCCGGTCGGAACCTCAGTGAAGGTAAGATTCGCGGTCCGACCCGGTTTGCGTCCGGTCAGCAAGCACTCGTTATAGGCCACCTCCCGTTCCTTTGGCCTGGCTTTGGCCACGTTTGCCTAAGGCTTCTGGCCGGGATCCCTTTGCTTTCATTGGGGCGGTCTCTCATCGGCTTGGTCCGCCGGCTTTGATCGCTACTTTCGCTCCAGGAATCTCTGGTGAAGGGACCTTGGTGGGAATGTGGCCAAAATTTAGAGGGTCGCCCTCCGGGATTCCCAGAGTCTGTGGGATGAACAACATAGTGTATGATTTGAATTAGCTTATCAAAAGCATATATTTTGTTTCTTTGGCCCTAATTTTCCTCCTCTTTTTGTTTTCTTCTCTTAATTTGACTTAAAATTCTGCATTCTCTCACCTTCTTTGTGAACTCAGTGAATGTCACACTGCTCGCTCACAAGACACTTCTTTGTGCAACTGGGCAGTCTTAGGTAAAACGAATAATGAACGTATTTCCTAAATTGGGGATCCAGATAGATGCCATATAGAGTGAATTTGAGGACATCCTGATAAATTTAATAAAGATTAACAAGCACAGAAATGGATACCATGAATTAATAATAGCCAGATGCTCTTCTATCTGTTGTATAAGGAGGGGAGTGGAATGTGGGGAAAGAAAGAATACAACATTCCTTCTGTAATCTTTTCCTCAATATGTAGTCAGGTTTTAGGCTATCTTGGATTAAAACCTTCAATTTTCCTTCTAATGGTTGGTTTTTTATTGTGCCATGTATGGAGTAGATCAAGCAAATGCTTGCTGAATGAATGAAAGGATGTATGACATAAAATCTCTGCTCTACACGATAAAACTTTTTATCAATGGGAACATAAGTATTATAAAACTACAGGTATGTATATCCACTTGGTTTTCAACATTTTCCTTTATATATCCTTTGCTTCCTGTAAGACTCTGCTCAGAGGTCACACATCAGAGAGGCCCTTCCTAACTACCTTATCTATAAATACCATTGCTAACACTCTGTCCTCTTACCTGTTTAATTTTTAGATAGCTTTACCACTCTAAGAATCTATAATATGTATTTGTTTGTTTATTGACTTCCTTTCCCTCCCACTAGAATGTTAGTTCTGTGAGGTCAAGGAGCTTAGTATTTTTTATTGTTGTATTCCTAGCACCCAAAATAGTACTTGGTACATAGTGCATTATTATTAAACATTTGTGGAAGTAGTAAGCAAGTGAATGAATATTTCCAAATAACAAATGGTGTGTTGGAATGTACTTATTGTTCGGACCCAGATTTAGTCTGTTAAAGTTTTAGGGTGCAAATGAATTTTGGTTCTTAGTTCCATAATGACATGGATCAGTGTGCTTTAGGTTATTATTGTATAAACAGAACCAAACACAAAATGTGACACATACTAGGTACTTAGTAAATGATGTCAAATAAGTGAATGTGCAATATATTTCATAGGAAATAAAAGATACAAATGGGAGAGGCACATGGTACTTATAGTTTATATGTCAAAAAGGAATTTTTGTTGTCATAATATAGGAGGTGTTTATCTAGCTTGTATCCTTTAATTTCCTCTTGTCAGTAAACCTTAAATACCCAAACCACTGTAATTCTGAACTATTTATAGTTCCTTATGTGGAGCCATGCTCCTTATCTCCATGTCTTTGCTAATGTAATTTTGAAATGCTTAGTTTTGCTGTGCTTTATTTTCTCTTTAATAATGTGGTAATAATAATACTAGGACCTACTAAGGTGTAAATGAGATAACACATGTAAAGTGACTGGTACATAAAAAGTGCACAGTAAAAATTGCCTGTTGCTGTTATAATTTCCATAGCTTCCTTAAGGGGTTTTCTGGATTTCTTGTTTTAAGTCTCACCCTCTAATCAAGGTCATTACCAAGAGTTATCTTTCCAAAACACAGATCATTTTATGTCACTCATAACATTTAATGACTTCCTGTAATGCTCAAGATTCAGCATAAAGTTCTTAGGACAGCATAAAAAAAAACTTTTGAAATCTTACTCCTAAGTATGCAATGTCTAGATAATGCCTCCCATCTCTTTTCAGAATCCTATACTTGAAGAATGACAAAAACAAAATTTTTCCTCCCGTAGTTTGCATTACTGTTCACTTCGTGTTGTACTGCTCTGAGTTTTGATAAATGCGTAATGCCATGTATCTACCACTACAGTATCTATCATTTAGAATAGTTTTGTCCCCTAAAAATACCCCAGGCTCTACCTATTCATCTCTTACTCTGCTTCCCCAGAAGCTGTGGCTGTCATCAGTCTTTCTACTCTTTCTGTAGTTTTGTCTTTTCCAAAATGTCATATAATTGGACTCTGAGTATTTAGCTTTTACAGACTGGCTTTTTTCACTAAGCAATATGAATTTTAGTTTCGTCCATTTCTTTTTGTGAATTATTAGTGCATTTCTTTTTATCACTGAATAATATTCCATGGTATGTAGGTACCATTTTGTTTATTTACTTCTCTTTTTCAAGGACACCATGGTGGTTTTTCAGTTTTTAGTGGTTATGAATGAAGCTGTTATTTGTGTACAGGTTTTTGTGTGGACATGTTTTCAATTCATTTGGGTATAAACCTAGAACTGTTGCTGGATCACATGGTAAGACTATGCTTAGTTTTGTAGGAAATTGCCAGACTGTCTTCCCACCAGCAATGAATGAAAGTCCCTGTTGCTCTACATCTTTGCCATTATTCAGTATCTTCTGGTTTTTGGTGTTTATTCTAATAGGTATTTACTGGTATCTCATTGTTGTTTTAATTGGTTGTTCTTAATGACATGTGTGTCATGTTTTCTTATGCTCATTTGCCATCTTTATATCTCCTTTGGTGAAGTGCCTATTTAGATGTTTTGTTCATTTTTATTTTTTTATTTTTTTTTTCAAGATTTAATTTATTTATTTTTAGAGAGAGGGGAAGGGAGGGAGAAAGAGGGAAACATCAATGTGTGGTTGCCTCTCGTGCGCCCCCTCCTGGGGACCTGTTCTATAACCCAGGCATGTGCCCTGACTAGGAATGGAATAGGTGACCCCTTGGTTTACAGGCTGGGGTCCAATCTTCTGAGTCACACCAGTCAAGGCTTTTGTTCATTCTTAAACTGGATTGATTGTTTTCTTATTGTTCAGCATCTTTGTCCTTTATTATCTTTTTACATGTCTCTGCTTAATAACTGATGGTCCAATAATAAATGACACACGGAAATGGTACAGTGGCCTGTTGGTTATGATTCTTAAAATCTAAGTTATAGGAAATATAGATAAAAATCTACAGAAGCATTTTTGACATAATGAACATAATTGTAGAAAATTATTACTCTCTTTTCTAATAAACTTTTACTAAATTGTCCCTTGTACAGGCCTACACATCGTTGTATTTTTAAAACTATACTAATTTTTAAAAAAGTCCCCTCATTATTATTATTCCCAAATATTATCACCTAAAATTATGAATTATGTTCAGAAGAGATTATCAAACATAGCTTCTTTCAGATTTCCGTCAATATGTATAAGACACCATAAGAGATATTTTATGTGAAGTATATGAAATAATAGATATGAAAGCATTTGTGTGCTATGGGGAGTGCCACATACTTATTTAAAGAGCATTTCTTGTATACATACTCTCTGTGTTTCTCCCAGGTATTGTACTAGGTACCATGATACTTCAAACAATTTATAGTCATATAAGCATTTTAACATGAGCTTTATTCAAATTTATTTTTTAAGAATTACATTTGTGCCCTGGCTGGCATAGCTCAGTGGATTGAGCGTGGGCTGCGAACCAAAGCATCGCAGGTTCGATTCCTAGTCAGGGCGCATGCCTGGGTTGCAGGCCACGGTCCCCAGCAACCGCACATTGATGTTTCTCTCTCTTTCTCCCTCCCTTCCCTCTCTAAAAATAAATAAATAAATAAAATCTTAAAAAAGAAAAGAATTACATTTGTTAAATAATAAATTTATGTTTTACTTCAAGTCTTTCTCTTTTCCTTCATGTATACATATATGTGGATATTTACTTATTTAGCTGTTTATATGTATACACATATGTAAGATTACTTTCATATATTATCTGTATTTTTATTTTAAAAATTGGCATCTTTTTTACGAGAGTTGGGGTAAATTATTGGGGTATAATTTACAACAGTATATGCATCCATTTTAAGTGTGCATTCAGTGAGTTTTGGCAAAAATATACAATTGTGTAACCACAATCAAGTTATAGAACATTTCTAAAACTTGAGGTGTTCTCTTATGCCCCTTTGCTGTCATTCTAACCCCAGTGTTCCACACAACTAGTGATTGGCTTGCTTTTTGTTGATATAGATTAGCCTCTTCCAGAATTTCATTTAAATGGAATTATACATTTGTGATTTGTTTGTTTGTTTGTTTTAGGCTTCTTTTGCTTATTATAATTTTATTTCCATGCTCATCCTTTTTATTGCCAAATAGTCTGTTCATCTATTGATAGACATTTGAGTTTTTTCTAGCTTTGGACTATTAGGAATAAAATTGCCAGAAGCTTTCATGTATGGTCTTTGTGTGGCCATATGTTATCATTTCTGTTGCGTGTGTCAGGTGAAATAGAGAGCAGCTACCAGAGTCAGATAGGCCTTCCAAATATTCACTGAGAGACAAGCCAATATAGCTTTGTCAGGATTTGAATCCCATCTCTGCTATTTACTAGCTGTATAATCCTGGATAAATTGTAAT